ACAAAAGTGTTATAAGTAAAATAAAGAAACTTACAACAGTGTTATAAGTAAAATAAAGAAACCTACAAAGGTGTTATAAGTAAAATAAAGAAACAACAGTGTTATAAGTAAAATAAAGAAACCTACAAAGGTGTTATAAGTAAAATAAAGAAACTTACAACAGTGTTATAAGTAAAATAAAGAAACCTACAAAGGTGTTATAAGTAAAATAAAGAAACAACAGTGTTATAAGTAAAATAAAGAAACCTACAAAGGTGTTATAAGTAAAATAAAGAAACAACAGTGTTATAAGTAAAATAAAGAAACTTACAACAGTGTTATAAGTAACAAAAGAGAAATATACAACAGTGTTATAAGTAAAATAAAGAAACTTACAAGACCTATACCACCTACTTTGTTCACGCTTTTCTTTTTTCTTTATTGTGTCAAGAATTTCCTTTTCAATTCTTTCTCGCTCAAGTTTTTGTTGCTCCTCCAACGTCTGTTGATGTAAATATACCTGGAAGAAGGAACCTGTTTCCTGGTGTGTTCATTTTTTATGAAGTGTTATGACTGCGACAGAAAATTGGTGTTACAAATCAGAGTGTGACAGAGAGAGAGAGAGCTGAGTGACCAGATAATAAGTAAAGAAGTACGTCTTCTCTAGTTATAAAGCTTTCCATCTCTTTATATTTCTTCAAATGTGATGTCCAGATGATATTATTATATTGATTGAAAAGTCATTGATAATATTTTTTTCGCATAAAGCCTTAAAAAAACTTGAAGAGTAGGACCTCGTTTGATGGGAAATGTCAATCGTTATAAATCGCATGCGTTGTTTTTTGTTCGCAATTGGAAGTGTGAATATGTTTTCAGTACTCGGAACGAAGAGGCAAAGTGCAGTCAAACATTACACGATAATCTTTTAACCTTGACTTAAAGGTAAAACTCGTGTAGGTATTCTATCTAGTTTAAAACTCTGTATTATCCTTGACGTATTTCCTTTCAGTGACGAGACAGGGACTAGTAGTTAGCATACATAGTAGTGGATCAGAAGGTTCGAGGTGCAATATGCCACTAAACAGGCTTCGCATTTTGAGCTGTGGGAGTTTTACAATCAATCTTGCTATTCGATTAAGGATACCTGAATGGATGGTGTGAGAGGGGAGGTGTCTCATGAGCATAGTTACGAAATTATAATTGTGGGGGGGGGGGTCTAAATCCTACAGGTTTTGATACATGTACTTGTAATAAACTATAAATTTGATAAATCTCTAATTCTTAAAAAATACTTATACAGGTTAGTTAAATGCAAAATCAGTAACAGGTATTGATTTTGTTTATAATTTTATTTATTTATTTAAAAAGCTGGGGATCTGAAGCCCCCCACATCTAGCTGCGTCCATAAGTTTGTTTTTTATGGTGCACTTTACCTTAAAACTGTCCTGTAGTTGTTTCTCATGTTGCTGGACAAGCTGTTGCTGTTGCTGCTGAAAGTGTTGGATCAAAAGATGTTGTTGTAGTTGCTGTTGTTGTTTCAAATGAAACAGTTGTTGCTGAAACTTCATCTGTTGTTCTCGGAGTGCCGGAGTAAGACTGTTGTTCATGCTGGCCAAGGCGGAATCCGAACCGTTCAACCCTATTGAAGTAAAATAATGAATTTTACGGCATCACAAAATTATTATTTTTACCAAGTATTCTCCCTAATAATGACATAAAAACACAAGTGTGCACAATTATCTCCTGACATCACAGGCAGAATAACTCAAGAATGCTTAATGAAAAATCTACAAGATGGCGATGGATATATTTTCTTCGGTGAAGATTAAGTTAAAGTAAATACAAACAGTGTAACATTAGGATCATATGCAGGAAAGGACTGGCAAACAGTGTAACGTTAGGATCATATGGAGGAAAGGACTGGCAAACAGTGTAACATTAGGATCATGTGTAGTAGCAGTGTTACATCAAGACTGTATCAAATCATGATAAGTTTTTATCTGGTTGTTAGAACGTGATGACCAGGTACTATAGAATAAGAACGTAGTATATTCAATCTCACACAATTAAGTCTAATTAGAATTGGTGTAGTGTAACAAGACAATTCTATTATTTCAAGCACGTGATTCGTTGAACTATATATATATGAAGTTAATATGCATAATTATGAGCCACTTTGTTCTAAAAGGCTGTAAAATGCGGTTCGAACCAAATCAGTGACTGATCAACCCGGTCCTTTCCTACATATGATCCTAATGTTACACTGTTTACCAGTCCTTTCCTGCATATGATCCTAATGTTACACTGTTTACCGGTCCTTTCCTGCATATGATCCTAAT